CTCGGATTTCGGCGTTCTTTATATGCACGGAAACCTTGTGACATAGACTACAACTTAGTTAAGATTATTCATTCTAAATAATCTTCTATCAAAAAGTCATTTTTGACGCTTATCGTCTCTAAATTGACTAGCCCTAATCTACGGGCGTTACATATATACCCAACTCCCTCAAACTCTATTCCATGTTGACACTATCGGCCCCTCGTTTCCAGATCCATTTTCAAACATGGTCCTTATTTTACCATTTCAACCCCATCCATAGAAATCCCTTACAAATTAAGTCCCACAGTTACCATTCAGCCCCTCCTTTACCAATTATTCTCAAATAAAGTCCACATGTTACCCTTTTAACCCCAGCCTTCAAACTCTTTACAAATTGAGTCTAAAATTTACCATTTAGCCCCTAATTCCATAATTTCCTTTCATTTTAGGTCCAAAACTTACCAAATAGCCCCTGCCTAAAAAATCTTTACAAATTGAATCCGGAATTTATACTTTAACCCCCAAATAATTCAACTTATGACATCTGGCTTACTAAAACCAACACCTTGCTATATAATTATTGATTTTAGGTCTAGTATACATTCATTAATTAATCTATTTATTTATTTAATAAATGGGTGTTACACCAAGTATGTCGTTGTACCTTGGATCTGAAGTTTGAGCTCAAGTGCTAAAGCCTTTAAGCACTTAATGAAGGATTTGAATCTGTAAGGGTGCGCCCCACGTAGACTGGTGTATGCCCCGTGTACCTGGTCAGCTACCCTGATGGTGGTTTCTGGAAAGCCTCATGTACGCTGCACGTACCTCCGGAGTAAACCCCGCGTACTCGCATGGATCAACCATTTACGAGTTAACTCGGTTGGGTTGACCTAGTTGGGTTGACTTAGTGGGTTTATGGACTTTGACCAGTTGACTTGGAGTTTGTCCATGTTTAACCAAGTTTGACTTTTGAGGTTATTTTGGTTATTGTTGGGATTTTGACGAAATTGGTCACTTAGTGGTTGTAGGCATTTGAGTTGATAGTTGAGATTCAGAGTCAGACCTTATCAGTTATGTGCAGCTTGTGAGGTGAGTTTTCCTCACTATACTTTCAGGTCGAAGGCACCAAGGTTGGCACATTGGTTTGATAACCTAATATTGTTAATATGTTGAGTATGGACTAAATATGCATGCTAGTTTTGATATGCTAGTCTGGTAGGTCTCAGGGCCAGTCCAAACGTATGTGAGGCCTGAAGCGAAAAGAAAAAAGGGCCCCTTAAATACAAATAAAATTGTTTATCGTTTGAGCTAATTTGAGTTTGGACCAACTTTACGCCCTAAAAATCATTTAGGTAATATTTTTTTTAGTAATATACACTACATAGCCCATAAATTTTACGCCCCTTAGATACGTGTGTCTTGGGCAGTCACCCGAGTTGCCCACTATCTGGACCGACCCTGGTAGGTCTGTAGGACTACATGTGATACTGTCTGTTTATATGTATATGATATCATCTGTTATATGTTAACATATTGTATAGGTGGCTTGAGGTTGTACTGTTCCGTGTTATAGCCAACAAACCCTGGAGCAAGCTAGATATGAGCTGAGGTCCGAGGAGGGCATGCTAGACTCATACTGAGGGCTCATGAGCATTCTAGATACGATCTGAGGGTCGGGAAGGGCATGTCAGACTCGTACTGAGGGCTTAGTGGTATTCAGTCTGAGGACTGATCAGGCTAGGGAGCAAGCCAGTCATAAGTTATGGCCTAGGGGGCAAGCTAAAATTATACTATGGGCTCAGGGATAATCTAATCTGTTAGTTGTGGACCCATTGCATGCTTTTATTATATATATGCTATTTGTTTATGTATTGGTATTTTAGGGGAACTCACTAAGCTTTGAGCTTACAGTTTTGGATTATTTTTCAGGTACCTCATAGGATCGCAAGAAGGCGAAGGAGTGATTGTGCACCTCCTCATGTTTTGTTTCATGATTTTAGGATTCCTCTGATATTGAACTTGTTTTGAAAACTATTTGTAAACAATGATGGTTTTTGGGTTTATTTAAAAGTTTAAAATTTTCATGAATTTTATGAATGTTACAACTACATTCATTTCTAAACCATGAAATATTTTAGGGTTATAAGACATAAATCATTATAATCATCTCACCAAGATTCACTCACAACTAGGGATGAGCTTCAAACCTATAAACATGGTCAGGAACCGGTTCGAAGCACTATATGTTAATAAACATCATGTTTCGAGAAGTTTATTATTCTGGGATTGTGGACAATAAACGGATCAAATAAAGGCCTTAGGCTTCAAGGGAATGGGGTTTACACCTTATTGGATGATGATAATGTTGGATAAGTGATTAAAGCCTTCATATGTGTCTTGGAGTCAAAGGGTAAAATGGGAAAAGTGATGTTTCAAAGTTTAAACTTCTTTCATGAATTAACAATTTTAGCTCAGTGTGTTTTAAGTCAAAAGTAATTATATAGGTTTGTGGGACTCGTGAATACCTTTCTATGAATATAAAGAACTTCAAAAATGGAGTTGAAATGAAGAAGTTATGATTGTTTTGAAGTTGGAGTGAATTTGGGTGAAAAAAACGTTCTCACGAGGTGAGAAGTAATTCTCATGGCGTTATAGTCCTCATGAGGTGAGAATATATTCTTACAACATGAGAATTGTGCAGCCCAAAGCCCACAAAATTTTTAGGGTTTTCAAGGTGTTTAAAGGTAAGGATTTATGTTTAGGGTATTTTCTTAGCCTCCATCAAATCTAGAACCTCTTAGGAGAAACCCTAGCCTCCATTTTCAAGATTTGAGTCTCCCCTCTCCTCTCTTATCCATTTTTGGAGTTTTTGGTGGTTTTGGAGCAATGTTTTCATGCAAGATTGATCCTTGAAGCTTGGCAATTGAAGATCTCAACTTTCATTTACCTTCTAGACCATTGTAAGTTGTAAATTTCGAATCTTCATTGCATTTAATCTTTGGATCTAAGTGTATTTTGTGCTTTGGTCCATTTTAATAAGTTTTGAGTGGGAATTAGGAATAAAGTTTGCAATTTTATTACTCTCTAAGGTCTTAAGAACATTGTATGCTTTAGATCTGGACTCGAACACCTTTTTATTAATGTAGAATGTTTTCTTGGGACTCATGGACTAGTAACATTTTGATCTTTTGCCTTCCCTTTTAGCCATGCAAGTTATTTTGGTCATTTAGGCCATTTTGGTGTATTAAAGTTTAGATCTTAAAAGCTTGAGACATTATTATGAATAAAGTTGGAAACTTTATCCACCTAAACATCATGTTGATTCAAATCTGAAGGTTGGAGTCTTGGACTTAATAGATTTAGCTAAGAAAGATGCATTCTTGGCCCCTTTTAGACTTAAAGACTAGATCTTGGTTGTTTAGAACATCACAATGGATAAAGTTGGAAACTTTATTTATTATGAAGCTATTTAGGATCTAGATCTGAGATTATGGGCTTTTTTTAATAGATTAAGCACTAAATGAAGATTTTGACCTTCTGACCGGAAGTCACGACGTGACATAGGATGTATCACGACGTGACAGTGTCCAGAGTCGCGATCGTGTTGTTGTTTCATTCACACGACGTGACCAAGGAATGGTCATGAAGTAACGTTAGCTTTGACTAAGTTGACTGTTGACTTATTTACCGGTTTGACTTTTGGTCAAACTTGGATAAAATTGAGTATTTAACTACGGATTGGTCTCGGTTTCGCTTTTGGGGGTTTGTGTTGGCTATTTTGATGTTGAGGTAGCTGTTGGGCTTCTGTTGAGTAGTTTAGGTGAGTCTTCTCACGGTACTTGTGGGTTGAAGGCACCAATGTAGGCCCACTGGATTATATTATGTAGAATGCTAGTTGTCTTTGTGACCGTTGCATAATTGATTGGGTTGAAATATACCCTAGGGTTGGGCCCAATATTGTATGTTTGGGTTGAAATATTTCCAAGGGCTAGGCCCAATATTGTATTTTGAGTTGAAATATACCCTAGGGCTTGGCCTATGATTGTATGTTGGGTTGAAATATACTCTAGGGCTGGGCCCACTAATTTGTATGGTATTTGGTATTTTGGAGAGAACTCACTAAGCATTGTGCTTACGGTTTTGTGGTTTAAATATTTTCAGGTACTTCCAGTTTTAAAAACAAGAGCTCGACTTGATCGTACTGCATCCCCTGAAGATTTATTTTGTAGTGATGATTTTACCCTGATGCTTTGAGAATACTTTTACTCTGATAGTCTTTTGGGATAATGTACGAATGGTTTTGACTCATTTAAAATGAAAATTTTACTCAGTATTTTTGAGTCATTACAGTTAAACACCGGGTATCGGATATCACTTTAAGCCAAAAACGAGTAGTCAATATACTAGGCCTGGGTATAGTTGGCATGGGTAAAACGGGTAAAGGGAACCTGACCTAGTAGTTTAAAGGCTTCATAATTAAAACCATCAATGCCACTTGGACTTTCGATAGAAATTTAAAAAAAAAAAAGAAAGAAAACAGAAAACTCCTGGAGTTGTAATCTCTTACAAAGGGAATCAAAATAAAATATTATGACATGCCCCTTTACACCGGTATCAAAACTCTTCATTACAAAAATATGATAAGACAACTCTGATTACAAGCTAAAAATACAGAACAACCTCGTACACAAGTTGAAAGCGCTAAAAAATTTCGGTTTTCCGATCCTAATACCCGGAATCCGATTCTACCCTATTCACTTTGATATTTCCGATTCTAGATCCAGTTTATCTGGTCTCATACCCAGAACCGGTTCCTATATACAAATCCGGTTTTCGGTTCTACTAAATCATATTTTTTGATTTCTGGGTTTTTCAATTCTCGAATGGACTTCGTTTTCACCCCCTATTCATAACCGTCTATGTAATATGTTTTAATAAAAAAAAAAAAAAAAAAAAAAAAAACTAGGTTTTTATTTATAGAGTTGATTACGGGCTACTCTTTTTTTATGGTTAGACATTGTGCTTGAACTTTAAAGCATAAAAATCTATGTTTTAATAAAAGTTTGGATGTCATAAATCTGATTATTGTGTTATATGTTTGTGGAGGAATAGAGAAAGATATATGGATCCTATTTGGCAAATGGTATGAACTATGATATTACACGTCACATGATCATACGATAGCCCCATACGGATCCTCGAAAACCCACCATTTGAACCGATAAAAACCCCCAAATCTCAATTCCCCCATTCGTCTAGCCACACACATTCACCCTATCCATCTTCTTCCCCAAATCCTATCTTCTTCCCTCTGTAAATGGCGTCCATCTCCGCCGCAGCCACCGCTGCAGCTTCATTTACATACGCCACGCCTTCCTCATCTTCCTCTTCTTCATCCCCTCTTTTTACCCTTCAGAAACCCACCACCAGAATACTGCTTTCTTCTTCGTTTGTCTCTAAAGCTTCCACAAACCTTTTCCTCCACAACCCCTCTTCATCCTCCGCCAACCCTTCTCACCGCCGCCGCTCTCTCACCGTACGCGCTGCTCGGGGGAAATTCGAGCGAACTAAACCCCATGTCAACATCGGAACTATCGGCCATGTCGACCATGGAAAGACCACACTCACTGCAGCCCTCACCATGGCCCTAGCCTCTACAGGTGGAGGAATTGGCAAAAAATACGACGAAATTGACGCCGCTCCTGAAGAACGTGCTCGTGGTATCACCATCAATACCGCCACCGTGGAGTACGAGACGGAGAATCGCCACTACGCCCACGTCGACTGCCCTGGTCACGCTGATTACGTTAAGAACATGATTACTGGTGCTGCTCAGATGGACGGAGCTATCCTCGTCGTCTCCGGCGCCGACGGCCCCATGCCTCAGACTAAAGAACATGTCTTGTTAGCGAAACAAGTTGGTGTCCCTAACATGGTTGTTTTCTTGAACAAACAAGATCAAGTCGACGATGAGGAATTGCTTGAATTGGTCGAATTGGAGGTAAGAGAACTCTTATCTTCTTATGAATTCCCCGGTGATGATATCCCAATTATCTCCGGATCTGCTTTGTTAGCTTTAGAAGCTCTAACAGAAAACCCCAAGATTGCAAAAGGCCAAAACAAATGGGTCGATAAAATCTATGAACTAATGGCAGCAGTCGACGATTACATCCCAATCCCACAAAGGCAAACCGACCTTCCATTTCTGTGCGCAATCGAAGATGTGTTTTCAATCACAGGTCGTGGAACAGTGGCCACGGGTCGGGTCGAGAGAGGCACTGTTAGAGTCGGAGAGAGCGTTGAGATTGTGGGGTTGAAAGATACCAGAACCACCATTGTTACAGGAGTCGAAATGTTTCAGAAGATTCTAGACGAAGCTTTAGCAGGTGACAATGTCGGACTTCTGTTGAGAGGTGTTCAAAAGATCGATATCCAAAGAGGGATGGTTTTGGCTAAACCGGGTTCAATCACACCCCATACAAAGTTCGAGGCTTTGGTTTATGTGTTGAAGAAAGAAGAAGGTGGAAGGCATTCACCATTTTTTGCAGGTTACAGGCCTCAATTCTACATGAGGACGACCGATGTTACAGGTAAAGTGACTTCGATTATGAACGATAAAGATGAAGAATCAAAGATGGTTATGCCTGGTGATCGTGTGAAGATGGTGGTGGAGCTTATTATGCCTGTTGCTTGTGAACAAGGAATGCGGTTTGCAATCAGAGAAGGTGGAAAGACTGTTGGAGCTGGTGTTATCGGAAACATTCTTGAGTGATCTTATGTGTTCTTTTCTGGAGAGATTTTATGCACTTAATTTTGCATTTTCATGATACATCTCTTTTCTTGAATTTATGCTAGCTTCTTAGCTTAATTAATCGCAAATATGATTCGGGTTTCTTGTAATCAATCACTTCATATGTCTAAGTGTTTTCTTTAGCTATTTTGATCTTTGTTTCAGTCACTTGAAATATAGTAGTCATATGATATTGATTAAACATTAATGCATATGTTTGAGTGATATGAAAGATTTTGATTGAATTCACATTGGAAGTAGCATAAGTTACAAATACATGATGGGTACACTAATAATTTAAACCATCAACGACCAGCTTAAACTGATACACATATTAACTTCCTCTTGCTACTATGGCTTTGTTTCTTGGGACATTTACTTTAGAAGATGGTGGAAAATATGAGTTGTTGAACGAATGCTGCTCTATGCATCTTCTCTTCATGATCCTTGACTTCTACTTCTTCGTTTGTGCTTCAAACCATTTAACAAATAGTCAGTCATTGATGTACAACAAACCATTTAACAAAAAGGCTATTAATATGGTGTGCGTTTTGCAATTTTAGTCTCTAAAATAGTCATTTTTTACTTCGAACAGGGAAAAAAATGTAACAAAAACATCAATTTGGACCAAAATTGCAAACAAAGACTTTTTGAGACTAATATCGGATAATCAGCTATGGGACCAAAAATGTAATTTCATAAAATAATAGTGTCATGTTGCAATTTTTATTAGGGAATGGATGGAGTACAAAACCAGCCCCTAGTTACGATATCGTACATTTTGAGCTGATGAAAATTTACTAGGGGTCATCCATCTAGATACTTCGTGTCTTACTAGGGTTAACCGAATGGAATATCTTATCCTCATGTTTTTTAAAGTATGTTTTTTAAAGTATGTTTTGAAAATAAGGCTATTTACATTTCTATAAAAGATTTTCGTACCCCATTTGGTCACCCAAGACTCATTTTAAAAGTCACGGGACCCCATCAAAAAGCCTATGGTTAAACGTGTTTTTGGCGAAAGCAATATTAAAATGGATAACCATTTAGAAAGCAATCATATATACCTCTTGACATCAAAAGTGGTACTTGGTATTGTTGGTTGATCTTCTTGAATTTCTGAAAATGGAGCACTATATAGAAATGCCGATAGTGGATCGGGTGTAGCTTCATTCATGTTTCCCCTTTCAGTCATTTCTCGTGAGAGGCTCACACCATTACTCCACAAACCAGACTTCCCGGATTTCCTCCTCCTCTACAACCAACCAACACTTTAAGAGTAATAACACAAAAAAAAAAATCATTTCAATGTAAAGAAATGTAGACTACCTTTATCGAATGAACATGTTGTGATGTGAAATGTGCAATTGCATCTTTGCCTAAATTTGCTGCACATATCGGACAAACCTAAACAATAACGTTCGATTTAGATAAAACATCACAAAGAAATTGATGTTTGCAGGTCCATTACAGTTCTGAAGTTGAACTCAGAACTGTAACGGATCTGCAGATTGCAAATGCATAAAGATTGTGGACAAACCTAAACAAATAACTTTCGTTTTAGATTAAACTTTGTTAAGGGAATTGATGCTTGTGGGTCCATTCACTATTGAAACGGGACCCACAAGCTAAAATAACATAAAGATTGAGGTTTAGGGGAATACCGCGTTATTTAGATCAAAACAGTGTTCTTCTTGTAGATGGCAACAAAGGGCAGGGATTTCGATTTCTACATAGCAAAATGGGCAGGGAAACCAGGCTCTAACATCATCATCTCCATCTATTGTAAGATGATTATCTGCTTCAAACAAGAAACAAATCCAGGAACAATTTTGAATAAAACTAAAATGAACCAATTTTGTTATGAAATCAAGAACCACACATACAGTTTGACTAGGTCAAAATTGAACAATTTGGGATTTTGGATAGGTTCAACATGTTACATGGACCAATCTTTATTGTCTATCAAGAACGCTGTGAACCACAAATAACTATGGTTTGACTTCAAAAGTCAAACAAGGTGTTTCTCTACCACACAATTGAAGTCGATTTCAGAAATTCTTCATCCATGACTTTGAAGATCAATTGTGTTTGGAAAGTAACATGAATGATCAGATCTTATCGTACAACATAAAACACACAGTAGCGCACACACACACAATACTTTAAGAAAAAAAAAAAAAAAAATCCGGAATGTTCTGAAAGGATTGATTGGATTTTTTCCTAGCAAATATCAAATTACAAAAAACAAGTTTTAAATATATATAAATTTGCAATCCATGAAGCAAGATTTATAAATATAAATCTAAAAGAAAAGAAAAAGACAAAAAGAAGGGTTGAGAGAGCTACCGGAGTTGTTGAGGCGTCCGGATTGGAGAGTGTGAAAGTGGTGGTGGTGGTGGTGTTTTACAGACTGAACCCTTGAACCCCATAAATCCATCTCCATGTTTTCCGGTGAAAAAGCTTCTGTGTCTCGTCGGAAAATCAAGAATCCGGTTAGCCCCAGAAGAAAAAAAAAAGGGTGAAGCTTAAGATTTATGAAGAAAACTGGATACTTTTTCTTCTGGGTTTTATGAAGATTGATTCTTTAAGGTGCAGTGTACTTTGATGATGTATTTAGTGTGTGTTGTGTGTGAACTGTGAAGTGAAGCAGAGAGAAGGTATTGTCCAACGGGGTTTTAATGTTTGTATCTTCTGATTTATGGAATTTGGAAACTTTTCGTAAATTAATTGAATATTCAACAATTAATTAAATAAACACGTGAAATATTCTTAAAAAAATTATAAAGAGAAGAGTTTTAAAGCACAAGTATGTATACCTAACAATTTAATTGATAACATACATGCTGAGTCTTGATATTTTTTACTTATTTATTTGTATTAGATACCTAATCATTTAAGCAAATCCAGATAAATAAACGTCTGTTTCTTTTGGAATTGTTACCTAAAAATTTATTAAATCGAAAGATTGAATAAATCAATTGGGATCTTTTTTTCAGATAAAACATTAAAATAATAGTTATATATTTTCAATATATTTCAGATAAAATATTAAAATATACCATTTTTTTTTTATCTAAGACATGATTATTCAACAAGTATATAAAATAATAGAATGAAGTAAAAGAAAAAAAGAAACTTTGACGGAAATAAAAGTATACGAGAAAATTGAGTGAAAAAAGGGAAAGTTTTCCTGACAAAGAAAAGGCAAGTTGATAATACGTGCCACGTGGGCGATAATTATAGGGTGAATGCGCTGTCGTTTAGCTTTTTTTGTGTTGCCTTGTCATACTCAAAATTGTACACATCACTGTCGAGTCAGATCCTTACAACCATCCAAAAACCCTCCCAAACTTTTTCCATTTATCCTTTTTAACCACAAGTTTTATTCAAATTTATAAAACAATAAATAGTTCAATGATTGTTACCAGAAAAAATACGATGTTTACAGCATGTACTTTTAGAAATCGTTAGCTATTGTTCAAATAAGTACTTTGTTTTTTAATAAAAACAAAATAGATAATTTTTCAGATCAAATTAAAATAATAATTAACTGATAAAAAAAACTAATTTAAACATAAAAATAGTACTTAAAGCCATCTGTAAACTTATTCTAGTAAATGAATGGCAAATTGAGCAAGCTTCGTCTTTAAATTCCATAATACAAAGGACTTTTAACATACCCATCTAATGAAGTCAACTAAAAACATAAAGCCAACTATTTATTTATCTTTTTCTTGGAGAAAATTTAGGTCAATGACTTGTTTATCTAAACCACTTTATTTAAAAGATTTAAAATGGATAGTATATAGCAAATTATTTTATAACAATTAAAAACTATAAAGTTGTATTAGATTATCCGTTATACTGACCACTAACCATTATAATATTGGATGATACATCATTATCATATATTTACCACTAAACCATAAGATACTTATCACTACTATATAATTGCTTCTTATTTTTAATTTTGATTTAAAATACATAAAAATACAAATCAAATAAAACATATACTTTTTTAAAACTGGTTTTTTATTCAATTAAAAAACATTACATAATTTAAAAAACAACAATTAAAAAAATAAAAATATATAAAAATACAAGCACAAACAACTTAAACTAGTTTCTAAACTCCATTTTTTTAATTACCCCACCATGGGGACTTCTTAAATTTTAATCAAACTGTTAGGTGTTTAAACGATTTATGGTTTATATCTTCATATTGATACATGGTCACACCAACTGGATCGTCTTTGTGTGCATTGTTTATAACAAAGTTATAAAGTTCGTAGAACTCACAACATTTTACCCTCATAAAGCGAAACTTAGAACATATTGCGTTAAGATTATAACTACGACAACCCATTAAATCATGGAAAACATTTCCAACTTTTCCCCAAAAATTCCTAAAAGTTCAACTATCTAAGTCTTTCAAAACCGTCACTCATGCTAATGCTAACTTCCCTTCTTCCTTTTCCGACCAGCTCTGCATTTTGGGGGCCATAGTTTTTGAAAGTGAATAAAGGTAAAGAGGAAATTTGTGAAATAAGTAGATGTAGAGTGCATAGGTTAAATTGTTGTGTTTATATATAGGTAATGTTTTTAGTAGGGTTGTGCATAGGTTGGTTTGGGTCAGTTTTAGAACCAAACTCAACCCAACTCATAAATGGTTGGTTTCTGGTTTTCAGAACCCAATAAGATCGGTTTCTGATCGATTTTGTTTTCTCGTGTTCTTGGGTTCAACCCATATACTCACGGGTTCAGGGTTTAAACCCATGAGTTTTGGGTTTTAACCTATTTTCCATAAACGAAACAACAAGCTAAGTACTTCAAAAAACATAAGTCTTACAACAATTAGTCTATTACAAGTTACAACCAAAGCCCGAAATAGTCTATTACAAGCAAAACACAATCAAGTATGAGTGGTTTCTCGGGTTGGATGGGTCGGTTTCTTGGGGCGGTTTGTCGGTTTTAAGTATGGATCGGTTTCTCGGGTAGTTGGGTTGGATGGGTCGATTTCTGGGTAAAATCTGAAACCGAACCTAGTTTTTCGGTTTTAAAAAAGGGAAAATACCAGTAATAGTAAAAAAACAGGGGGTAATTTCAAAGTTTAGACATGAAAATGGATATTTCCAGGTATAGACATGCATTCCACGTAGATAGCTCCGTGGAATCTATTGTAGCTCCGCAGAATGACAAAATCGTAACTAAATCAACGTTTAAAAAAAAAAAAAAAACCTCAAAATCCATTCCGCGAAGCTACAGTAGATTCCGCAGAGGTAGCTCCAAGGAATGGATCTTGAGGGTTTTTTTCGCATCGATTATTCGAAGTTTATATTCATTACCCAACTAATTATTTTCAAAAAAATATTATCATACTATCATAATCTTTTCTTGAAAATAATTAGTTGGTGAATAAATATAAACCCCAAAGAATCGATCAAAAAAAAAAAAACTCAAGATCCATTCCTCGGAGCTCCGCGGAATGGATCTTGATTTTTTTTTTTTTTTTGCTTTTTACATTGATTAGTTACAATTTTGCCATTCCGCAGAGCTATAGTAGATTCTGCAGAGTTCCGTGGAGCTACCTCCGCGGAATGCATGTTTATACCTGGAAATGTCGATTTTCATGTCTAAATTTTGAAAATACCTCCTATTTTTTGCTATTGCCGGTATTTTCTCTTTTAAAAATATCAAACACTAACTGTCGGTTTTGTTTCAGTTTCGGTTTTTTCAGTTCCGTTTTCGTCGGTTTTAATCGGTTTCTCGGTTTTTTGGTTTGAGTTTTTTTCACCGCTAGTTTTAGATTATATATATATATATATATATATATATATATATATATATATATATATATATATATATATATATATATATATATATATATATATTCAAAATTTTAACCATTAAACGGTCAAAAAAAGCAAATGCAAGCCAACTGGTCGTTTATGTTCGTCATCAGCAACACTAAGGACCACGACCATAAATGGCCGAGATAGCATCCACGTAAAATTTTCATGGTTATACACAATGGCCTTTTATGTAATGGATCGTTATAAAACCAAATCTATTTCAATAAACATAAATAAATCACGGTGTATTGTATTTTTGCTCATACACATATCTAAAATATCAAGTACAACTGTACAAACAATAATTTAAAGTTGGAGTCAAGTTGTCAGTTGTGTGATAAAAACAAAATAGTATATAAAAAGCCAAAAAAGAAAAATAATCTGAGGAAAATAAACTAATGAGAAAAACAAAGACTGCAAAGTTATAACAATTAACAACATATTCTAATTTTGAAGTATATTAAAGGTTTTTTTATTACTTTATTTTAATTTATAAATAAGTTTCAAATTAAAATTTAGAGTAAATTACTGAAATTGTCCCTATGGTTTGATTAAAATTGCATGTTTGATCCTTAACTTTTATTTTGCACTCGGATCGTCCTTATGGTTTGATTTTGTTGCGTTTTTCGTTCCTATGGTTTGATTAAAATTACACGTTTGGTCCCTAACTTTATGTATGCAAAGGACGAAAAACGCAACAAAATCAAACCATAAGGACGATCCGAGTGCAAAAGAAAAGTTAAGGACCAAACGTGAAATTTTGACCAAACCATAAGGACGATTTCAGTAATTTACTCTAAAATTTATTTATGAAAAAATATGAATTATCGGTAAAAATAACGACTTAATCTATTTTTCCTGATCGTCTAATCATTAAACGAGCTGAAAAAATATTTATTAAATTCTTATTATTTTAACTTGATTTACAAATAAGTTTCAAACTAGGGATGAACAATTTGTCTCAAATCTCGATCTCGTACCGGTACCGTACCGAAACTGGTACCGAACCATACCAAATTTAAAAATACGGGACGGTACTTAGTACTCCAAATACATGAAATTCGAGAATCGATACCACCAGTACCGATACTAGTACCGGAAACTAGTACAATTCCAGGTACCGGTACCGATGATGTTAATTTGATTCGGTACTCGGAATTGATTTTTGACAAAATTCGGTTTTCGAAAAATCAGGAATGGTACGGGTCGGTACTGGTTTCGTCTCACGCTCATCCCTATTTCAAACTAAAATATATTTACAAAAAAAAACATTATATATGATAAAAGTCTTGATTTGTCTATTTCTTTGCTTGTAACATACATTGTATCAGTTTCACTGCAGACTTGAACGACAAGTCATTAAATGGATTAACGAGATGAATATTACAAGTTATATAATATTACGTTTACCGTAAAACTTGATATCAATCTCATCAGCTCTTTTAATGATTAGGCGTCCAGGTCAGCAATAACATCGATAAAATGTGTGTTACTGGAAAAAAAATGGCAGGAAAAGACCTGATGAGATGGATATATTGGGTTACATAAAATTAGATAGATAATTTGAATTTTTTTATAAATTTTAAAAATGATGATTTTGTTGCTAGTTTATGTAATTATTGTAGTCTTCACTGGATACATTTAATATTCCAAAAAATATACAATGTAGTAAAATATCAAATTTTACAGTAGACATAATATTATATAACCCAATATATTCATCTCATCGGCTCATTTAATGATTAGGCGTCCATGTCAGCAATTAAACCGATAAAATATGTGTTAGAGGGAGAAAACGGTCAAATAACTACTTTTATCGGTGATTCATGATTTTTCGTAAACAAATTTTAGCTTGAAACTTATTCGTAAATTAAGATAAAAGTGGGACTTTAATAGAGATTTCCCCCAACTCATTTTATTACTAGGCGTCCAGGTCAGCAATGAAACCAATTAACCGAAAGTTTTTTGACCAAATAGTCACTTCACCGGTAATTTATGTTTTTTTATAAACAAATTTTAGTTTGTGATGTATTTGTAGATTATGGTAAAATAATTAGATTTTAATGAAGTTTGTCTTACGCAAATGACATTGTGATATGCATTTTTTTTTCTAAATAACACTTTAACCTTTGTGCATTAGATACTTGTATAACATGATTGTTTATGCAACAAAGACCTGTAAAATTGGAAAAATG